ATTTGTAGAATGCCACAAGAATTTAGTTCTCGATAAGTTCAAAATTAAAACAATGAAAAACGAGAAGAAAGCAATTTAGCATCGCGATAATAATCTCGATAATTGTGTGTTTACAATGAATATAATGAGTCCTATATATAGGGTACCCATAAAACCTAGTTGAAAATGGAATTTAAGTTTCAAAGATACTAAAAAATTCCATAAAAGAGTTTTAACTTAAATAAAAGATTACGCGAAAATTGGAAAAATATGCATTCAGAATGAACTATGATTCTTCATTCGCTGCTTGAACCAAGTTGATCCATTTGGTTTCTTCTCCTGATCCCAACATGAAACTTGTTCATTTGTTTGTCGTGATCGACGTTTCATCCACCGTAACTTAAGCAAGCAATCCCATCTCCTCTTTGACTCGACCTAGTCATCAGTCCTCCCTCAATGATCAATGGATCCTTGCCCGGACTTGCTCTCGTATCATGGATCACATCAGGCAATCTATGGGCACTCCAATGCTTAATCAATAAAAAAATGGATGATATTATGAGTATAGGAGAGATAATGGACATGAGTAATGTAATACTGTAGATGTGTAGAATTGCATCACCTTCGAAAAAATCTAAATTTGAGCGAATATAGTTAGAGAGAAAATGTGATGTTCATTTGATATTTGATATGTGTCTCCTTCCCAACGGCTCATGGCTTGGCCTGATAGGCTTTATCCTAGTTGTTATAAGTTTGTGGTGACCTTAAATGAACTGAAAAATGCAACTTTATGTTCTAGGTCTGCCACCTAAAAAGTAGACTGAAAGTGTTTCTTGTAGAGTTGTCAATTAGCCAACCGTACGGAATATCTTTAGGTTGAAGAGTTGTCATGAAAAATGTCTTGTGGAGCAAAGGCCTTTTAATTCTTGAAATATACTATGACAACTTATGACGTCTGACCTCGAAAGTGAAGCTTCGAATAATTGGCGTCGCTTCGAACGAGGCACCTAAATTACCTGATCCTTGACCTAATTGCTTTTGCCAAAGTTAATTAGGAGGACAATGTGATGTGGAGTACGAGCCTGAGTGACTTTTTACTCCTTCTCAATTGGCTACCACGTGACCAGTCTTGTTGAACAAGAACAAAAAGTCCACAGATTATTTAAAACCTTCAATGATACATTTACAGTTGAGTGATTGTAATTATTATTATTTTTCGTTACTCATGTGTTCAAGTTTCGTCCGACTAATTTTGAGAAATGTAATAACCCAAGAATAACTAACCAAGAGAGATGATGAATTGATTTTTGAAACTTTACGAAAAATTAATCTAAATTCAAGCAAGTAAAGATTAAATAGATTAATTCAAACAATAAGTACAAATATAAAAGCGATAAGTAAAAAGAATAGATGAAGCAAACGATATAATTGTGAAGGTTCAATTCAAAACAATGATCTACGTCCTTCATTACTAAGCTCTCCAATACGAGTTAGACATTTTTTACTATGTTGATTGATTTATGATGCAATCAAAACCTTTACAATGCTATCGATGACTCACAAACGATGAACACCTATCATTATACAATGTTAAGTTTTACAGAACCTCAACACGACCCACAAATTTAAAGGAAGTTGATTTTACATTTTGAAACTTCTCTTTTAATAAATAATATGATCAAATTAAATACCAACAGAGAAATAGGCTAACACTTTAATAAATGTAATGAATAAGACTCAAGTTTTAGGTGAGAAAACTTTGATGAGTAGAATGATTTTCAAAAATTAATTTAATCAAAAGTTTTTAAAAGTAAATTGTTTGATAAAGAAAAATAAGATATAAGATCAATATAATTTTGTTCAAGAATATCTCATTTAAATGTTGTCAAAAGTATTTTATTGAATGCTAATTGAAATGATATTTATTTCAGTCAAAATGCCAAAATTTCTGACCAATTGAACGACCCATTCAAAGGTCCGTGTATTGAACTGGACAACTGAACTAGTCGTTGTGCATCAAAATTCAGAACGACTTAAAATTCGACCGTTGGACGAACCAGACGTCCGCTTGGACAGTGTTTTCTCGAATTTTTCTTGCTTGATTTGTTTTGGAAAAATGGAGGCTTTTGAATGACCTTTTTACTTAATTTTTCAAGGTAAATGACACTTGTAAAAAATTTAAATATCAAATTGGAATTCTTACTTTTTGAAAAATAATTTTTGTGCAAATGTTTTTATAAATAATTTTTTTCGTACATAAAAATTCATCATTTGAGCTTTAAAAGTTTCATTGCTAAGGATTAAACCATTCTCCTTTTACATATGAATCCAAAAATCTAAGTCTAATATCTTCGATATTTGACTGTTGAAATTCTTGTCCATGATTGATTTGACGTGAATGCTTGACTTGCATCTCGATTTTCAATTGATCGTCATTTGTGAGTCTTTTGGTAGTGATCATTTTATCTTCAATTGATCAACTTTACAAAAATAGCTATGAAACTTGAATTCAATTGTTAGATACAAAAATAATATGTTTGTTATAGTGTTTGTTTGGTAGAGATTTTTGGGAGAAGAATTGATTTTTTAATAGTGATATAATGGGAAATGTATGGTTCAAAAAGAAGAAAAAATTATTGATGTGATGGAAAATATTATTTTATTGAAAAATGTGTGGTTGAAAATGAGAATTGATTTACTATAGAATTTGAGAATAAAAAACAAACAGACCCATAATAAAACTTGAAGTCAATCATAGGTCAACAGAGTAACGACCTTCCCCGCTGACTCGTCACCCGAGTAAATTAGGATGCGAGTACAACTTATACACACTTGGGCCAGGTATGTTATTCTTTTCCATGTGGACCTCCATTTTACAACGTGCAGACAGGTTTCCCTGAGCAACAATAAAACACACCACTTCGCATTCGCATGATATTTGCCTTCTAACATAAATATTGCATTCCAACTGTCGTAGAGATTCGAACCTCCTATACTCCGTAAAGAATCCTCATACTTTATCACCGCACCATGCCCGCGGGAGTGAGTGGTTGTCATTATTAGTCCTATATCATGCTGAATCTATTTCAAATTGGTAAATTGATCCCATTATGCTACGTGGGTTTCAAAACTTAGACAAAAATGCTAGGATATGAATATATAATTTTAATGAAAACCAAAATAGTAGTACAAGGACTTTATAAATATACACTATATAAACAAAACCTATATCCATGTCAATATAATTAAAAATGATCTGGAAATTATTTATTTTAGATCAAATGAAATAAAATATAATTTCCTTGACTTATAAAAATAACTTGTTGGAATTTGGTTAAAATTGGTCAATTAAAAATTAAGTAAAGTTGATTTTGTATTAATTTCGACCAAATATTCGGATAAGTTATGATAGTGAAATTATACAAGTGAATAGACTAATTTGTTCTGTTCGTCAAGTAGATGATCGTTGTATATTTAGAATTTTAAAACAAATTTCGAATGAATGAGAAATTGTTGTCCAATATTAGAAGGAAAAAATGGAAATCATGTGTATAATGCCGCCACTCGAGCGGTAGTCTAGCGCGCATCGAGCGGCGATCAACCTGTTTTGAGCGCTTGAGTGCCAAATTGGGTGGTGAGCGAGCGATGTGAAGAGTTGCATCCCTTCATGAAAACATGCTGAATTTGAGGCGTGTCTCTTTGGCCACAATCACTCGACTTCCATTGATATGATCCCTTAAAAAGTAAGATTTATTTTAGAGTTGTGCTTGGTGTACAATCATTAGATGATTGTAAATCTTACAA